CGAGGAGCCACAGCACTGCTGGTGACAAAGTTGCAAAGCTGACTATGTGCTGAAGATTGCCAGAAGCAGCTTTCTCTCCTGGCTCTTCTGCTGTGGGAGCAGAGGCCAGACGTTCATGATCTCCTCAGAGTGCTGCTGGGCAGCAGAGGGCAGGCTTCCGAGAGGATTCATTCAAACTCTCTTTCAGGTATGAAAGTGAGCAGAGACAGCAATGATGGAGGCACCGTTGTAAAGCTGACTGTGTGCTGAAGAATCCCAGCACCAGCTTTCCCTTTTTTCTCTTCTAATGTGGGAGCAGAGGCCAAACGTTCGTGCTCTACTCACTGTGCTGCTGGGCAGCTGAGAGTGACCTCCAGGTTTTATTCAAATTGTCCTTTAGGCATTAAACCGAGGAGAAACTGCATTGTTGGAGGCACCGTTGCAAAGCTGGGTGCTGAAGAGGCCCAGCACCAGCTTTTTTCATTCGTCTTCGGCTGTGGGAACAGAGGGCAAACGTTCGTGCCCTCCTCGCTGTGCTCCTGGGTCCCCTAGAGCAAGCTCCGGAGAGGTACAATTCAAATAGACTTTTACGTATGAAAGTGAGCAGTGAACAGGCATGATGCTGACACCCTTGTAAAGCTGACTGTGTGCTGAAGAGGCCCAGCACGATCTTTCCCTCCTGGCTCTTCTACTGTGGGAGCAGAACCCAAACGTTGGTGCTCCACTCACTATGCTGCTGGGCAGCCGAGAGCAGGCTCTGGAGATCTTGCATTCAAATGCACTTTTAGGTTTGAAAGCTCAGAGAGCACAGATGGTGACTCCGTTTCAAAGCTGACTGTGTGCTGAAGATTCCCAGCCCCAGCTTTCCCTCCTGGCTCTTCGGCTGTGAGAACAGAGGCCAAAAGTTCGTGCTCTACTCAGTGTGCTGCTGGGCAGCAGACAGCAAGCTCCTGAGAGGTAGCATTCAAATGCAAACTCACGTAGGAAAGTGAGCCCTGAGAGTAAGGATGGACATAGTGTTGCAAAGATGACTCTGTTCTGAAGATCACTAGCACCACCTTTCCCTCCTGCCTCTTCGGCTGTGAGAACAGAAGCCAAACCTTCTGCATCTACGCCCTGCGTTGCTGGGCAGCAGAGTGCAGGCTTCGGAGAGGTTTCATTCAAACTCTCTTTCAGGTATGAAAGTGAGCAGTGAAAGCAATGATGGAGGCACCGTTGCAAAGCTGACTGTGTGCTGAAGAATGCCAGCACCAGCTTTTCATCCCGGCTCTTCTGCTGTGGGAGCAGAGGCCAAAAGTTCATGCTCTACTCACTGTGCTGCTGCGCAGGCGAGAGCAGGCTCTGGAGCGAATGCATTCTGAGGTTTTTCCTGTTGAAAGTGGGCAGTGACACCAGGAATGGAGGCACCTTTGCAAAGCTGACTGTGTGCTGAAGATTAGTAGCACAAGCTTTCACTCCTGGCTCTTCGGCTGTGTGAGCAGAGGCTAAACGTTTGTGCTCTACTCACTGTGCTGCTGGGCAACTTAGACACCATCCGGAGAGGTACGACTCAAATGAACTTTTAGCTATGAAACCGAGGAGCCACAGCACTGCTGGTGACAAAGTTGCAAAGCTGACTATGTGCTGAAGATTGCCAGAAGCAGCTTTCTCTCCTGGCTCTTCTGCTGTGGGAGCAGAGGCCAGACGTTCATGATCTCCTCAGAGTGCTGCTGGGCAGCAGAGGGCAGGCTTCCGAGAGGATTCATTCAAACTCTCTTTCAGGTATGAAAGTGAGCAGAGACAGCAATGATGGAGGCACCGTTGTAAAGCTGACTGTGTGCTGAAGAATCCCAGCACCAGCTTTCCCTTTTTTCTCTTCTAATGTGGGAGCAGAGGCCAAACGTTCGTGCTCTACTCACTGTGCTGCTGGGCAGCTGAGAGTGACCTCCAGGTTTTATTCAAATTGTCTTTTAGGCATTAAACCGAGGAGAAACTGCATTGTTGGAGGCACCGTTGCAAAGCTGGGTGCTGAAGAGGCCCAGCACCAGCTTTTTTCATTCGTCTTCGGCTGTGGGAACAGAGGGCAAACGTTCGTGCCCTCCTCGCTGTGCTCCTGGGTCCCCTAGAGCAAGCTCCGGAGAGGTACAATTCAAATAGACTTTTACGTATGAAAGTGAGCAGTGAACAGGCATGATGCTGACACCCTTGTAAAGCTGACTGTGTGCTGAAGAGGCCCAGCACGATCTTTCCCTCCTGGCTCTTCTACTGTGGGAGCAGAACCCAAACGTTGGTGCTCCACTAACTATGCTGCTGGGCAGCCGAGAGCAGGCTCTGGAGATCTTGCATTCAAATGCACTTTTAGGTTTGAAAGCTCAGAGAGCACAGATGGTGACTCCGTTGCAAAGCTGACTGTGTGCTGAAGATTCCCAGCCCCAGCTTTCCCTCCTGGCTCTTCGGCTGTGAGAACAGAGGCCAAAAGTTCGTGCTCTACTCAGTGTGCTGCTGGGCAGCAGACAGCAAGCTCCTGAGAGGCAGCATTCAAATGCAAACTCACGTATGAAAGTGAGCCCTGAGAGTAAGGATGGACATAGTGTTGCAAAGATGACTCTGTTCTGAAGATCACTAGCACCACCTTTCCCTCCTGCCTCTTCGGCTGTGAGAACAGAAGCCAAACCTTCTGCATCTACGCCCTGCGTTGCTGGGCAGCAGAGTGCAGGCTTCGGAGAGGTTTCATTCAAACTCTCTTTCAGGTATGAAAGTGAGCAGTGAAAGCAATGATGGAGGCACCGTTGCAAAGCTGACTGTGTGCTGAAGAATGCCAGCACCAGCTTTCCCTCCCGGCTCTTCTGCTGTGGGAGCAGAGGCCAAAAGTTCATGCTCTACTCACTGTGCTGCTGCGCAGGCGAGAGCAAGCTCTGGAGCGAATGCATTCTGAGGTTTTTCCTGTTGAAAGTGGGCAGTGACACCAGGAATGGAGGCACCTTTGCAAAGCTGACTGTGTGCTGAAGATTAGTAGCACAAGCTTTCACTCCTGGCTCTTCGGCTGTGTGAGCAGAGGCCAAACGTTTGTGCTCTACTCACTGTGCTGCTGGGCAGCTTAGACACCATCCGGAGAGGTACGACTCCAATGAACTTTTAGCTATGAAACCGAGGAGCCACAGCACTGCTGATGACAAAGTTGCAAAGCTGACTATGTGCTGAAGATTGCCAGAAGCAGCTTTCTCTCCTGGCTCTTCTGCTGTGGGAGCAGAGGCCAGACGTTCATGATCTCCTCAGAGTGCTGCTGGGCAGCAGAGGGCAGGCTTCCGAGAGGATTCATTCAAACTCTCTCTCAGGTATGAAAGTGAGCATGTTTTCAAAGCTGACTGTGTGCTGAAGATCACTCGCAGCAGCTTTCCCTCCTGCCTCTTCGGCTGTGGAAGCTGAGGGCAAACGTTCCTGCCCTCCTCGCTGTGCTACTGGGCCCCCTAGAGCAAGCTCCGGAGAGGTACAATTCAAAAGGACTTTCACGTATGAAAGTGAGCAGTGACAAGCATGATGGTGACACCGTTGTAAAGCTGACTGTGCTGAAGAGGCCGAGCACCTGCTTTCCCTCCTAGGCCTTCTACTGAGGGACCAGTACACAAACGTTCTTCCTCTGCTCACTGTGCTGCTGGGCAGCAGAGAGCAGGCTCTGGAGAGGTTGCATTCAAATGCACTTTCATGCATGAAAGTGAGAAGTGACAGGAATGATGGTGACACCGTTGTAAAACTCAGTGTCGGCTGAAGAGGGCCAGCAACAGCTTTCTCTCCTACCTCTTCTGCTGTGGGAGCAGAGGCCATACGTTCATGCTCTGCTCCCTGGGCTTCGCAGGGGTTGCATTCAAATGCACTCTCACGTGTGAAAGTGAGCAGTGACAGGAATGATGGTGACACCGTTGTAAAGCTGACTGTGTACTGAAGAGGCCCAGCACTGCTTTCCCTCCTGCCTGTTCTCCTGTGGGAGCAGAACCCAAAGGTTCATGCTCTACTCACTGCGTGCTGCTGTGCGGCATAAAGGAAGCTCCGCAGAGGTTGCATTCAAATGCACTGTCATTTGTGAAAGTGAGCATTGACAGGAATGATGGTGACACCGCTGTAAAACTGACTGTGTGATGAAGATTCCGAGCACCACCTTTCCCTCCTACCTCTTCTACTGTGGGAGCAGAACCCAAACGTTCATGCTCTGCTCACTGGGCTGCTGTGCAGCTGGGAGCAGGCTCTGGAGAGGTTGCATTCAAATGCACTTTCAACTATGAAAGTGAGCAGTGAGAGCAATGATGGAGGCACGTTTTCAAAGCTGACTGTGTGCTGAAGATCACTCGCAGCAGCTTTCCCTCCTGCCTCTTCGGCTGTGGAAGCTGAGGGCAAACGTTCCTGCCCTCCTCGCTGTGCTACTGGGCCCCCTAGAGCAAGCTCCGGAGAGGTACAATTCAAAAGGACTTTCACGTATGAAAGCGAGCAGTGACAAGCATGATGGTGACACCGTTGTAAAACTCACTGTCGGCTGAAGAGGGCCAGCAACAGCTTTCTCTCCTACCTCTTCTTCTGTGGGAGCAGAGGCCATACGTTCATGCTCTGCTCCCTGGGCTGCTGGGCAGCTGGCAGCAGGCTCTGGAGAGGTTACTTTCAAATGCACTTTCAACTATGAAAGTGAGCAGTGAGAGCAATGATGGAGGCACATTTGAAAACCTGACTGTGTGCTGAAGAAGGCCATCACCAGCTTTCCCTGCTGCCTCTTCTGCTGTGGGAGCAGAACCCATACGTTCATGCTCTGCTCACTGGGCTGCTGGGGAGGCAAGAGGAAGCTTCGGAGATGTTGCATTCAAATGCGCTCTCAGATATGAAAGCGAGCAGTGACAGCAATGATGGAGGCACCGTTGAAAAGCTGAATGTGTGCTGAAGATCACTCGCAGCATCTTTCCCTCCTGGCTGTGGAAGCTGAGGGCAAATGTAATAATATCATAACATCATAATAACATCAGAGGTATAACATCAGTGAAGAACTTGGGATGCTAATGATAAGCTGCTGTACCCTCCGGGTGTTTCAGCATGGAGATGGCTGCTGCTGCTGCCCCCTTCAGGACCCAGAGGGATAGTGAGAGTGAGTATAATGCTAGACCGGAAAAAAAGAAGTACTCGGAAGCTCGTATATGTAGATTTTTAACGGTATTATTAAACCATAAGTGTAAATGGACTAATAACAATATGTGTTTTACTTAGACTGCCAAGGTTTTTATTAGATTAACTGTTTCCCAGGAACAAAGCCTCCTGGCTTTGGATTTTTGACACTGATTTTATTTATTTTTTTTCCCCCTCACCCATCCTTAAGGTGAACGGATAAAGTCATTTGAAACAACTGTGCAATGGACCCAGCTACTAATTCAAGAAGACTTCATATTAGGTCTTTTCTTCTTCATGAAGAGGTAACGCATCTGAAATAAGTGAGTCCTGTGGACTGACACAAGCTTATATTTGACCTGAAACACTAAGCAAAATACAGGCCAGCACAAAAAAAAAAAAAGTAGATGAAGACACATTTGACTGTTCAAAGCACTTTGGCATGCTACTTCAGTCTTTGTTTCTTTGTATTCTGCTGCACTAAGGAAGAGTAATTTCCTTTCAACTTCTTCAGCTATGAAATCTAGTAACCTGGCAACTTCAAAAATAGCAACTATCACAGCTTCATCTTCACTGGCTATATGCCACTGAAGTTCTAGATTTGAGGACTAGCTGTAGTTATAGGTCCATAACAAGACTGTAAATTGGAAGTTGCCGTTTTCCTCTGTAGGGGTATGTGAGTGATATGAAAAATAACTTAAAGATTGTTTCCACTCCAAGGAGGGTAATAGTCAACTCTACCTCTCAGTTCAGTGGTTTCAGGACTACTCTGTAGATGCAGGACAGATGAAGAGAGCTGGAGAAGACTATTCCCAAAGGTGCTCAAAATCCAAGTGCTCACAGCTGATGAGGCAAACCTGGGCAGTGGAGAGAACAATGTGAGTAGTAAAAACAATTGTTGTTTCTTCTGCAGGATAATATTTGAGAGAACATTTTGCTGGGCCAAGTCTGTTTCAGCCAGTCCTATGTGCATGTGGCATACATGCACCCAAGAATAAGATATCTATTATAAGCCCCTAATAATAACTGTCAGTAAGCAATAAGATTACTTGTGGTAATAAAATAACCATTTGACAGTTTTCTGTTTCCATGTCTTTTCTTTTGATGCAAGCATTGGGCCATCTGAGCTTGAGAAAAGTAAAATGGGGGTCTCTGAATCTAGGGGACCTGTTCTATTAAATAGCCACCCACAAAACTCTGGTGTAAAAGAATAACTGCTTTACAAAGGGGTGAGTTTGACCTCTTATAATTTGTATTGTTATTGAGATTGCACAAACAAGTTGGTGGGGATTGGCCAGATCTCCTATAGGAGCTGCTGTGGAGAAATGAAGCTGTTTGATACCCCTCATATTGCTTTCCTTTTCTCTGTAGTGAAAAAGTAGAACTTACGTAGCTGAAATCAGTACAAAGATGGTATCTAAATATGACTATACTCAGTCAGCAATAATATCTTTGGTTGGAGGACAGAGTGTAGTACGAACATGAAGCTCTGTGACTTTCTTATTCCTCCTGGACAGAAGTAGACAGATGGTTTGGCTTGATGAGGTAACATAGTGGCAGAACAATCTCTGATTTCATTCTCTACCTGCTGATCTTCCCCCTGAAAACATGACACCACTGTGAATGTGCTGCCACCAATGCTCTGTGTGAACCTCACTGACTAGACAGTCACCCAGTTACTAAAAATTCACGCTGCTGGCATTTGTATTCAAGGCAGAAGATACGCCCTCTTTGCACAGCCTGCGTGAGAAATATCCCACATTGTTTGTAACCATCCTGCTTTCACCGTGTGTGGGAGTTCGTCTTTTACTAGAAACAGTAATTGTAAAAATGACCTTCATACCTACTGAAAGCAGCAGACTGCTCCATTCTGACTCATGGAATGAGCCCAGGTATTGGGTAATGGCTTGCTGCTTGATAACAGGTTTCTCTATTGTCTTATGCAATAGTTACACTGAAGTCTAGTTCTGTGTCAGATACAATATTACATGTAAGCAATGAGTGTGACAGGTCTGTTTCTGCTGGAATCTAGAATGAAGGCAAAACTACAGAATCGCCGCTGACTGATGAAAGCAACCTTGTGCTGGCTCAGCTGGGTTTCAGAGTGAAGGGTCATAGTATTTCTTACAGTTTCGGTTTTAGAATAACAAATCCAGCTTGGATCATGCACCTCCAGCTGAAATAAAAACCTTGACTACTTTTTTTCTATATTTGTGTTGCAGTGGATCTTTGAGCTCCCTCTTTGCTGTCCTCTCACCTGATATTTTGTTTTCTCTTATATTCATATGTGTTTTAATTGAGTAGGAAATTCCCCTTATAAATGCCTTATAAATGTGTCACTCCTGTGGTTTGCTTCAAACGGAAGGGGATTCCAACAATAAAATTGTATTATTACTAAAATATAATCCTGTTCCATTGTGCAGGTTGTATTTTCAAACAGAGAAAGGCTTCTTGAGGGAGTTGTAGGGTAAGCAAGAGATGTTTTGTTTATTAAGTTGGGGATTAATGCCAATTCTAGTAAGAAGTAAGCAGCTTAGAAGTTCAGAAGATCAAGACCAATCTCAAACTGAAAATATTATTCAGCAGTTACATATCTCAAGTTCTGTTAAAAAACAAAACAAACCCCAAAACCCAACCCAAAAAAACAACTCCAAACCGTAATAGTTTGTGTGTTTCTTGTAATGAGTATTAGGATCTGTTCATTTTGGTTTGGCCTTTTATTTGTGTGTATGTTCATTATGGATTCAAAACAGAATTGCTTTAAAAATGTTTGTTTCAGGCATTGAAGATGGCTTTGCATTTCCTTTCCTATAAATTTGACTAGCCTAAAATGCTACTGTTGGTTGAACCTCTGTTGCTTTAAACTTCAGTCTTCTGAAACCATCGTCTATCAATTTCTTTTATCTGGAGTAACTGCTACAACAATCTGTCATGCTGGATTTCTGATCACATTTCAAATCTCCGTGTGTGCACTCAGGAGATGGAAATTCAATTTGCTTTTGGTCCTGCCTTCTCATGTCCTCAGAGATACACAGACAATCTAAGTGCATTCTCTGAACACTTACTTTGCTCCCCATTTCATCTCTGGATTTCCTTGCTTATTTTCAGAGTTTTCCTGAGAGCTTCACAGGCAATAATCCAGATTCCCCCATTCTGCTCGTAACAGCCACCTCTTTATTCAGCACTAGTTCTGAGCTGCTTTTGGACGTGGAAAGCCCTCCTGGCAATAATTTTTTTTTCTTATCATTTTCTGGTTCTAACAGTCATTTAAACAGAACTCAGCAGTACCAATTTTATTCTAGGCTGTCCAGGAATGCAATAAAAAAAACAAACCCCAAACAACCACAAAAGGCACAATTTAAAAGCAAATTCTATCAATGTTTTGAATGTTAAGGTATGAAAGATGGTGGTTATATATTGAGGTATGGTGGTTATTGAGCCTTGAAAAGGACTGTGAGTTTGCTGAAGGACTCACAATAACACTTGAGTTTTAAAAAGTCTCAATACTGGTTTTACAGCATATTGCTGTAGAGGAAATAATAAAAGCCACAAAGATGTGCAATTTCTTATGGCCTTTAACTAATACTGTAAGACAAAACATTTGAAAAAATACTCTTGACTGAAGGTGAGGGGATTTCCTTTGGAAGAATGCTTTTAAGGGGCCTTGCTCTGAACTGGTGACTTGGGAGGTAGTTGTTTCCTGGCAGCATGAAAAGTATGTTGATAAGTGGGAGGATATACACACCTCTATCCCTCAACCTGCAAAATGCTTTTGGGTTTACCTCTCCTCAAACGCCTTTAAGTGCTAACGACTCAGAATCTTATACCAATGCCCTATATAGTCTAATTTGATTAGGGGCCATCCTCCTAGGGTAGCAGGACCTGGGAGCTGGGCTGCCCCACAGATTCTGCCAGCCAGGGTGGTGTGGTGTGGAGGTGCTCAGGTGGGTCCCTGTGGCGACACTCTGGGTCTGGAATCTGATGGCGGCTTGGCTCACGTTATGCTGAGAAGAAACTGTTGACTCTCATCAAAGTGCAACACCCACATGGATCTGGGGGGGGTCAAAGCCAGATTTGGGTGGAGTGATTTGTTTGATGTCTTCAGGGACCAGAGGCCTGTCTGTGGATCTGAGATGTTTGTGTGAACTGGCAGTGTGGTGGCTCAAGCTGGGTTTTTCATCTGACTTCTGTTAGGAATGTGTAGCTGTGGTCTGGCTTGAACTCAAGCTTGGGTAAAATGTGGCTGCTGGGAGCTGACTGGTTGAGTGTGCTCTTGACAATTTCATATAGTGTTTAGGTGCATAGCACAGAGTATGGTGTTTTTGGAAATTTGGACCTGGATGCTTTTGTCACTTCTGAAAAGTGAAAAGATTCCATGCATAGCATAGAAGCTTATGCACCCTATTTACATAGTGGGATCTATACATAGGCTATTAAGGGCACTGTGACATTTGGATTAGGCTGTAAACTGCTAATTGTCAAATATTTTCATTTCTATGATCATTCTTATTTTTCTCCCATGGTAGAATGTCTCATCTGAATAATCCTCTCATGTATTCAATTGCTTTTCAATGTCCATCTTGGGTTTGCAAATGCTGAATATGTTTTTTTAAGGAAATGAAGTGGAACTGCACTTGAGTGCTTGCAAATGCTTGAAGGACAGGTATAAATGGGGTATTTACCAGATTCATTGACTGTGATGCAATGTTTCCTTAAAAGTAGGATGAACAGAGAGATACTGCGAAAGTTTAGAGTAATGTTGTAATTAATAGGAAAATATGTATTTCTTACTTTATAAAATGATCTTCAGTACTTAATCTCTTTTCCTAGCTTGTGATTGCTGGGAAAGTACATAAGGGAAGTAAAACTATGTTTGCTACTGCATCCTAGCACTTGCCTTTCCCCTCCTCCCTTTCTTTTTAAGGGAAAAAAATAAAGAAAAAAAGAACTTTATCTCCACTACAGCAAATGGCTTTTCCTTCCATCATTTATAAAAATTGTTTTAACAACATTTTTCTTTACTGTTCAAGGAATTTTTGCATTTTTCTCGATTGTTCCCCAGTGCCTGTATACTGCTGCTGCCTATGTTTTATGAGTAAAACCTGAATTGCACAAAGATTCAGTTTCCATAAGATTAAGGTCATGTGAGGTGGAAATAGCAGTCTAAGGTCAGCAGTCCCTTCATTTTTATTCCTTTCTTTTGGTCACAGGAAACAGCTCTAAGGCAGTTTTCTTGTAGGACAACATATAGGAATGTTTGTCTTTACAGATTTATTTTTGTGTGTGTGTAGGTGAGTTGGCATGCCTGCGTGATGGACAGCTGCACTAGGAATATTTGGATCTGGCATCTAACATCAAGAAAGCTCTGTCCAATGTGGTAATAAGCTCTACCACACACTTGTATGTCTTGCACACCATGTAGTAAAATTATAAGCAGATATTCTTGATCTCACAGAAAAGGAAAATTAGATTCATATACTGGGGGGGGGGGGCGTAAAGGGACGAAGCTGGTGGGAAGAATATGAGACAGGAAGGGAACTTCTGCTTCAGTGTTTTGAGGAGTATTACTGGTGTGGAAAGGTCATCAGATCCTCCAGAGAAGCTAAGTAAGACTACAAGTCTCAACTGAAGTGGTCACCAGCAGCCAAGATACCTCCTACAAGACCTTAATTTTCCCTTGGTCAGCAGCAAACCCAGGTGAAGGCATCTTCCTCTATTCAGCCACCTGTAGTGAGGGCAAACATGAGCTTTCACTGGGTACATCAGGCCTTACTTCATTTTTCCGTTGATTTTTAACCCAGACTCTTGTAGCTCCTGTGCTCAGCTGAAAATTTACAGCCTGTAAGACTGGTGGTAGCTGACAAAAGCAGGCTAAGCT